GCAGCACTGGTTGCTACGGTGGCCGCACAAATGCTTCGGCCGAGTTTGTTGACGATCTCACATCGAAAACCGATTCGTGCCAGTTCCACATGCGGTGAACATAATGGACAACCGATCAACGAAGTCTACTGCTCACTCACTGGTCAGCAAAGAAATCAATCATCGATTGATATAGAAATCCTGAACTCTAGGTTCCACACAATATTCACCGCTCAACGAGTACTCGTACCAAGACGATACAGCTCATCCACTGGCTTACAGTGAAATGCGACAGGAACGCGAAGCATTCGTGCAGGTAAGGATAAACCCGAGGTGTGAGGGCTAACAGCTGTTGTGATTGGTTGATGAGTGATGGCCAGCCTTTGGCGATTGGATATTGGACTTGGATAAACAATGAATCACCTTCAGAAAAAATGCGGGGATCTAGCGCAATTGGTATTTTCGTGTACTGCGTTTCAATATGAAAAGGTCCAAAAACCTTTTTGAACAAAAAGAAATTTGCTTCAAAGCTCACTAGATTTGAATAATTAATCATTTTGCCAAGTTGTTGAGAAAAGTGAGGTGTTAAAAACGTATAGTTTACCGCTTTTAAGATATTTATACAGCAGCAATATGTCTCTAGAGAAAAGAATTTCAAGGAAAAAAGTAGATGAATTTTGTAGAAAATCTTATCAAATGAAGTCAAACAAGAATACCAAGCACGAGAATTAGTTTGCGGAAGTAAAATACCGCCCATAGGGACCGAAACATCTACAAAAGTCACCTTCCATCTCTTTTCCTTCTGAAAACTTTCAGGCCATGATTTTTTTATAGTAGTTGATTTCTGCCTAGTGAAAAATGTATGGGCAAAAAATGAAAATGTTTCAGTCAAACAGAATTTGTTGAATTTATTTCGATAAATAAGAAGAGTAAAGCAAGTTTTTGCATTATACTTCGTTTCTTTCCTTCCCTTAGACGAATTTATAGTTCCCAGGCCCTCTTCGGGACAATCAATAAGGAGAGGGGCCTTTTGTGGAAAAATTGTAAAACTCATCTAAGGAATCTTCTTTTTTTTT